TTTTTTTTTTTTGTTTTTTCCAATTTTCAATTTTTATTCAGTCTTTTTTTTTCTTTTCTATTTTCCCTTTTGAATTGTTGCATATTGTGGTTATTCAACTAAAAAAGTTTAGAAAAAAAACAACCACGATGAGTGAAAAAAAAAATTTGTCCGCCCAGTCTGTCGGTCCGTCGTCGCCATCGTTGTCGTTGTCGTTGTCGTTGTCGCCAACATTGTAGTTGTTGTAGTCGTTACACCAATACCATCTCCGTCATACAACCAGCACAACCGCAAGCGGCATCATCAGTATCGGAAAACCCTCCCACTTCACGCTTCTGGGCCAATTGGTAACGAAGAATTTTTTTCTTCTATTGGCAAACCAAAGTGCCTTTTCACTGGTGACTCGTTCTTTTTTTTTCTCTTGCCAACAGTGCTTTCTCAGATACTCAAACAAGTACAGAAGCCGGTTTTTTTTCTTTTATAGGAGAAGGAAAGCGAAAAAACTGGGAAGAAGAAAGGAGAGAAGGAAGGAAGGGAGGAAGGAAGGAAGGAAGGAGAAAAGAGAGGAAGGAAGATAGGAAGAAGAAAGAGAAGAAAGAGTGAAGAGGAGGAATAATTAAATAGAACTTTTTTTTTGTTGGAGGAAAAAAACTGACCTCTTTTTGACGTATTTTCTTCTTCTTTTTTTTCTTCTTCTAAAGCAAATAAGAAAAAAAAGACTGTCCAAGACAATACAAAATAAATTCGTTGCTTTTTCCCTTTTTTCCCCTACCTCTCCCCCTTCCAATTTTGCTGCTATTGTTAAGATTCTAAAGAGAACTTTGTTCTTCCTTTTTTCTTTTTTCTTTTTCTTCTAGAAACTATAATTGAATAACTTTTATAAACAAGTGTATTTTGGTGAAGTAATAAAAGAGCAAAATAATAACAAAAAAATAAATAAATAAATAAATTCATTTTTTTTTTGGTTGGTTTAAAAAATTCTCAACTCTAAAACTTCTGTTACTGTAACAACAACAGCAACAGCAACAGCAACAACAAAAACAACAAAAACAACAAAAACAGCGGCACCATCGTCAGTATCATCAGCATCAGCAGTGGCAGGAATCCCGATCATTGCCAATCATAGTATTTTTGGTCGTCGTTTGATTGTTGCCGTTGTCGTCGTCCAATTATTGTTCATCACTCATCCATTAGTGTCGTCGTTGTTTTCCGTCATCATAGTTTATTAGCAACAAGGACAAGAACAAGAGCGACAAGAACAACAACAACATCACTGTTATTGTCATTATTATCATTATTATCACTGCACTTACTTTTTCTATCGAATCTTCTACAAGAATAATGAGCGACATCAAATTTCTCTTACCTTTATTATTTATTATTATTACTCAACCATCTTTATCCTGGTCATCACCTATAAACATTAATTCAATAGACAACGGCATCAATAATATTACTACAAATGCTATTGTTGATACTGCTACTGTTGCTACTGCTATTGATGCTACAACAGTAACTAAGAATGATGGTTATAAAATTTTAGTGGTGCTACCAGCCAAAGAAATAAGCTATGGTTTATCACTCGATAATGTTAAACCAGTGATTGATATAGCAGCGGCGGATGTTATTAAAGCATTAATATTACCAAAAAATTTTTTACATTTCAACTATTTTGATTCCAAATATCATATCGGTTCATTTATTGCTGAACGTATGGTGACAGTTAAAACTTTTAAAGATTACTATTCTGATAATCTGAATGCACTATTGGGTTTCGCGGACAGTTATACGTTGGCAACTGTTGCAAAAGTTACTGCTGGTTTACCGGACGGTTTACCAATCGTTACAACTGCTGGACGTGTTTCAGCATTAGGCGTCAAATCTGAATATCCATATTTGACGCGTCTGATGGGCAGTTGGGATCAACTGGCAGCTGGTGTTTATAAATTTTTACAGATTGATAAATTAACAGAAACCTCAACGTTATATAATATTGGTTTCTTCCTTCATGATCCAAAACGATCACCAAAAGCAAAAAAAGCTGCCGAACAAAATGAAGTGTCGAGCGACTGTTATTTTGCTATGCACGGTATTAAACAGTATTTTGTCGATCACAATCAAAAGTATCGTGAAAAGTGGCGAAGATATATACCAACATCAATTTTTGATGAGCAATACTTGGACTCAAAAACAATTCAAAAATTGCTCAAAGAGCTGACAACAATATCAAATACAATACTGCTTTGTGGTTCGCCAAAGACAGTTCGCAACGTAATGAAAGAAGCCGAAAATTTGGGATTAACAACATCTGGAAACTTTTCATTCTACAATATCGATTTAGGCGCTACACCAACTGCTTCAGACAATAACGACCGAATGCCACAGTATTCTTCAGGCCTACAATCACTGAGAACAATTGGTTTTCGTCGATTCTATGATAGTAAATACTATGAAACTGAACAGCGGATTCGTGATCGAGCTGAAAACTTCTATAATTATGGTGCTAAATATGGTAAACCATATAGAACAAATGACTTTATAATGTCTTTCTATGATGCTGTTATGCTTTATGCAAAAGCGTTAAACCAAAGTTTAGCCAGTGGTCAACGAATACAGGATACATCATTGTTGACAAAAACTATGTGGAACCTAAATTTTAACGGTATTATCGGCAACGTTTCATTCAATGAACGTGGTGATAAAAAAATGCAAACTGTTCTTTCCACCTACAGTCCTGTTCGGCAGCGTTTTACTGATGTTGCAACCTATTCAGATGCCGATGATCGACTGCAGATTATTGATGCCTTACTTTTCAAGTCTACTGTTCCAAAAATATCAGCAGCTAACAGTGCTCCTGCAATTCCGTCGGTTAGTTTGGATACTCAATCGACGCTTGATCGACGCTTCAATTATGAGCCAAAATTGGTGGTTATTGTTGTGTTGGCATTGACAATGACTGTAATTTTGATTGTTGCAATCAGCCGTGATCGTAGTCAACGGGCTCAACTATCAAAGCTTCGATCCGGTTTTGATGGTAAACTGCTACATCAACAGTTTTTGGATGCCGAAAAAGATGCATTGATGGTATGGCAGAAGACATCATTAGCCAACAATCCTCTGATTAAACTGCACGTTACTAACGATAGTAACTGTTAATATAAGTTGGGCAAAAAAAAAAAAA